CCATTCGATTCGTCTCAGTGAGACGATTCTAACAAGCTATGGTACATCTTTGTACGATTATTAGATGCCAAGTTATTTAATATATTCTTTATATAACTGTGATTATAAATGGTTCTTTTTAATATAAGATTTTTGAGGATAGGTGTGATAGTGACTATAGATAGATTGTGACTATAATGGGAGTGACTATAGAGGGAGTTGACTGTATATGATAAGAAAATGTGAAAACAAACATTTAACATAGAAATAGCGAAATTAATGTAATAAATATATTTTTTAAAAAAAAATTAAATAAAAAATCATTTCAAATAAACTAAGATCTTTGAAATTTATTATAATTCATTAGAATACATGATATTTTATTAAAAAATACATGAGTACTTATATCGCAATGATACTTTTTTCTGTGACTTAGTTTTCCTTTTTTTCTCTATATTTTTTATTCTCAATTCTAATATGAAATAATTTACTTGACGCGTAAACGTTTTGGTAATTGAATTGAATCAATTTCATCATGAATATTAAAATATAAAAGCCTATTTTCATGTTCAAGTATATTTACAATTGCTGATTTTCTTTCTTTTCCATTACCGCCATCTTTTGTTGTTTTTTTAAAGAAAAATAAAACTTATTGGTGGTTTTTGTTTTCAACTGCTGAGCACGAAAATGCAGATAAACCAAAATGGTGATGAATGCGTATCATTTCTGGGATATGGTATACCAAAACATGCATATATGGCGTTATGTCACTCGCCTGATAAAAATAGTTGGAATCCAAAAATTGATGCAACCATGCAATTGCACTATTAGAAAACTCTGAAGCATTCGTCTTTGGATCTTTCATTGCCTTGTGAAGTAAATAAAAATTATCCCACAAATTACAAATTTGGGTTGCTCTAGAAGTTGGTAAAAGTTTAGCTAAATTGAAATGTTGTAGAATGGCTAATTTATCCTGCCCCGTTAAAGAAGTGTATTGCCAATTAGTTGAATTTATTTCAAGCCAAAAATGAAATTTAACATTAATATATCTTATTTCTTCAACTATTACAGCTCTTGCTTTATCTTTCTACGTGTTTCTAGATTTAAGCTCATCAATTACTAGCCGTCAAAGAACATCTGTAATGCGTAACATTACATGCAGCTCATCTGGAATCCAATTTTGTAACGGAATCATATCAAAGATTGCTGATCAAATATGGCCTTTATAAAATGTATGATCTAAACAAATTTGATCTATACTTTTACTAATAGTCCATTTATATAAGAAATCACCCTTTTGCTCTTTTGATACTTCGCATCATGGACAAAAATACTTGCTATTTGCTGCATTTATCTCCAAGCAAATTGCCAAAAACTTCCAATCTGACGAAAAATACAATTCAATCTTCCATTTTACACCCTGATCATATTCTAATCCTTCTTCTTTTAACTTTCTCAATTCTACAATTAATGGATCCAATATAATGTGTAAAGTTTCATATTTTTCAATGCCAGGATATAAAACTATAGTGTAATGATTTTCTGGCTGATGCAAATTATCAATATCATTAAGAATTGAACACGTGACCATTACTTGTTTAACCTTTCTTCTTACATTACGCCTATCACCAGAAATTCGTAAATGAATTATAGGATTTGTTATATCCAATACTTTTCTTTTAAGAAGACCTGGTATCAAATATTTTAAAATGTTAATAATATCTCGTCTTCCTCCTTTTCCAATTGATTGTTGCACATTATCAATAACATCTGAATTATTAATATGTATTTCTGAATTTACAGGATCATTGGGTAGTGATGGTTCTAAATTTACAAGCGAAATTGGTATAATTTCCTTCATTTCATGAGTAATTTCTTTTCTTTCTGCAGAAACTTTCCATTCACGTGGTAAATCTTGACTGATTGAAGCTAAAGTTCTATAACTTTCACACGTTATTTGACTTTTATCACATACTTGAACAGCAGCTCTTGCTTTCCATTTTGTTTCTTCATTATTTTCCTCACCAATGCTAAAATGAAAAGATTTTTCTTTAATATTAAATTCAATAGACTTTAAATTGGGATTATTCTTTAAATAACAATTTTCTTTCACCACTTGATCAAATATTGTACATACAGAATTTGCAATTTTTTTTACTCAATTATTTTGTCCAGTTGAAGTTAAATTATCAAATTATTTTAAAATTGTTGCTCGCTGATGACTATCTCTTACTTGTTGAAGTACTTCTAAATAAAGACCAAAAAAATGTGGTCCTGAATAACGCGTTTTTTTTTCTGGATTTAAAGCCTAATTTAAAAAATTATTTATTACATTAATAACAAATTTAAATTAATAAAACAAATTAACAGATTAATTATATATACCTTAGCATATAAAACTGCTGCATCTGAACTTGATTTTTCTGACTTTACATGGTATTGAATTTTTTCCACATATTTAATTAAACACCTGACTGTTTGTAATTTCTTAGGTTTTCCCCAACTAGTTTCAACTTCATAATTATCAGGAATTCGAAAACTTTGACCTTTTGTATATTTAAGATAAGTAGCAGGTGGATAATATCCTTCTTCAATAATTTTATAGGTATAGCTTCGTCCAGGTTCAGAATATTGAATAATAGATTTCTTAGGATAGTTATGAATTTCAGTGGGATTTTTTCTTTTAAATAGTTGGTCACTATTTTCCATTTTTTTTTTCAAAGATTTTTTTTAATCAAAATTTTTTTACATCTTAAAAGTATGAACACATAAATTCCCAATAAAAAATATATATTTATTATTATAACCAATTAAAATACGTAAAAGATAATCTATTTATAGTAAAATTTATATAACTTTTAATTACCCCCTAAAAAAATTAGGGCACTTTTTTGATTAGCTGATATGATAAAAAAAAATAAACCAAGATTTGTACTTACTTACGAATCTTGGTTCCTTTTCTTCTGATCTTCGGAAGTCAACCCGAAACCTAAAAAATAAAATAAAGGAACGGTTAGAAACTGTTCATAATAAAATAAATAAATAAAAGTTAGATTCGTACCGTCTTTATGAATCTTTGGGTATTCTGTTCTTCAGAAGCCCATCTGAGACACCCAAGACCTAAAAAAAATAGAAAAAGAACAGTTAGAAACCGTTCATAATATTTTTAAAAAAAATAAAAAATCAAAATTCATAGTTACTTACAAATCTTAATTTTTCGTTATTTTTCGGAAACTCATAAGCCCACCTTAACTTATAAAAAAAAATATAAGAACGGTTAATAAACCGTTTGTAATAATAAACAAAGAAAGGAAAAAAATAAAAATTCTTATGAATCTTTGGATTTTTGTTCTTCAGAAGCAGGACCCCGAACAATATATATATAGGTCAGATAAAAAATTCAAAATTTACTAAGGTCAATAAGCAAATATTTTTCATGTCTGCTAAGCAAACTTTTATCTAACCCATAAATTTTTTACACTGCTAAGCAACTTATTTTATGACATATATATATTTATATATAATTTTTTTTATAAAATATGTATATAAAAAAAACTAAAAAAACAAAAATTTTTGAAATAATGTATGAATAAAGCTATTATTATTTTTTTGTAATATTACAACTTATAAATGTTTCTTATTAATATTTCGTATATCTGTTCTGTGACTTCAGAGCGTAATTTAGGCACTTTAGTCAAAGGAAACATCCAAAATCTTCTTAAGTAAAGTTGTTCAGCAGGTTCGAATCTACTTATATATAAATTTTTATTATGATTGAATAGATATTTATGGATTTATTCATATTTTATGTAACGCAACCAATACGAGAAATTTTTATTTTTAAAATTTACTGTAAAATTTGTCAAAAAAAATATTTTTAAAAAATTTTCTAAGTAAAAATGAAATAACTTTTATTGATTATTACAAAAATTATAGTGTAAAATTATAAAAAAACAGAAAAACACTTATTTTTCCCTTCCCATCCACCCATTGCTCTCATTTTAAATATATATTTTTTAAATATTACACGGACACGTATATGATTTATGATTTTAATATTACGCAGATGCGTATTTGTTTTATCAAAAACACAGTACACGATCACGTCTAAAAATGTTTCCTGTATTACATATACAATTAACTTATTCTTAGTATTAAAAATAGTAAATTTTTTTTATACAAACATGTTTATAATTTTGTTTACATATTTTATTAGATTTTTTTAATGTGAAAATGTAAATATATATTATATTATATATATATATTAAAAAATTCTATCCTGCTACACAAATATATATCTGACTATTAATAATTTAATACTCTGCTATGCATAATTATATCTGACTATTTAAAAATTATGTTATCAAATAAGCAATAATAAATCTCACATAGGAAAAATTTTTATATGTTGGTTAAGCAAACTCAAAACCTACCTTTATATATATTGTTTGGGGTCCTAGAAGCCCACAGAAACCTAAAAAAAGAAAAGAACAGTTATTAGTAACCATTCATAATATTTTTTTTAAAAAAATAATAATAAATAAATCAAGATTCGTATTTATTTACGAATCTTGGTTTCTCTGTTCTTCGGAAATTGAAAGGCCACCCAAAGCTATAAAAAGAAAAGAACAGCTATTAGTATAAACCGTTCATAATATTTTTTAAAAAAATAAAAAATAAAACCAAGATTCATGTATACTTACGAATCTTAGTTTTTTCCATTTTTGGAACTCAAAAGTCCATCCGAACCTATAAAAATAAAGAAAAGAATGGTCATTAATAACCGTTCATAATATTCTTTTTAAAAAAATAAAAAAAGTAAGATTTGTACTTGTACTTACGAATCTTTGGGTTTTCATTTTTTGGAAGCCCACTGAACCTAAAAAAATAAAGAAAAGAATAGTTATTAGTAACCATTCATTAATAAAATTAAAAAAAAAACAAAAAAATAAACCAAGATTCGTATATACTTACGAATCTTGGTTTTTTTCCGATCTTCAGAATTTGGAAGTCCACCGAACTTAAAAAAAAAGAAAGAATAGTTATTAATAACCGTTTGTTATTAATATTACCGAAAGAACTACCTAAAAAAACCTGAAATATTGGAACCGAAGTGGTCTATAAAAAAAAATTGTCAAAAAAAACCTACAAAAAGAAAATCAAAAGCGAACATCAAAAGTACCTATAAAAAAGAAAATCAATAAATCAGAAGTAACCTACAAAGAAAAATCCAAATTTCAAGTTCGAATCAAAGCATCTACAAAAGAGCAAATACGAATTGGCTATTGTTCCAAGTAGAAGTTGAACCTGCACCTTATGATTGAATCATATGCTCTACCATCGAACCTTCGGGATATAATGGTAAAATGCTATTCTTTCAAAACTCCCAAATTCCAAAATTGAAGCGTACTTACAAAAGAAAAACTTCTTTACTGATAGAAGTTAAACTCAAGTCTGGAAACTGAAATGAACTGACCTACAAAAAAGAAATTCCAAGTCCGGAAACCAAAATGAACTGACCTACAAAAAAGAAATTCCAAGTCCAGAAACCAAAATGAAAATAAATTCCAAGCCCAAGTCTGAAAACTGAAACGAAGAAACCTACAAGATAAAAAAATTTCAGAAACTGAAATGAATGACCTATAAAAAATAAATTTCAAGTCTGGAAGTCAAAAATGTTCAAGTTCGAGAGTCAAAACGAAGAACCTACAAAATAGAAAATTCTGGTTCGAGAGCTGAAATGGAACAACCTATAAAGGATATTATTGTCCTAAGCAGGAGTCAAATCTGCACCTTACAACTGAATTGTATACTCTACTATTGAGCCTTCAGGACACAAGTCAAAGGTCCAAATAGAAGAAACCAGACTGAAATAACCTACGAAAAAAAAAAATAAGTCCAGAAGTCGAAATAAATCGAAGTGATCTACAAAAATAAATTCCAAGAAACTACAAAAAAACGAACTCAAAAAAGAGTCCAAACCTGATTAAAAAGAAACTAATTTAGACTTTTATGGCAAAAGTCTATTTAAATCTTAAGGGGTCGAATGTAAATCATTACTAATTTAAGTTTTACTTTTTTAACAAGTATTTGGCTATTATTTAGATAGTTCAATATTTTTAATTTTGTTCAAGGTTGTTAAAAATTGTCAAGTTATTAATAAAAATTGATCAAAAAAAAATATTGGTTGATTTATAGTTTTTTTTTATATTACAACTCAACCAAAAATTAACCAAAAATCAACCAGTTGATTTATGCTAATTTTTTTTTTGATTTTTATAATTAGCCGAATGTTTAACGAATCACATAATGACGATGATGAACTTTTGACGAAAGGTATTAATGCTGAAAGAAACGATTTTAACCAGTATTGGCATCTAGTGATCATAGAGAGACAAAACACAGCTTATTAGATTTGTCTCAATAAGACGAGTTGAATAGTAGTAGTTTTATATTTCTAGGTGTGATAGATGCCGAGTTATGTGATAAAATGTAAAAATGCATAGTGGACGAAAATACAAAGTGCTAATGTGTGGTATAGCTTAACATCTATCATACCTAGAAACACAAAACTACTATTATTCAATTCGTCTTGTCAATATAAATCCAACGAGCTGTGTTTCATTTTTTTATAATCACTGAGTGGTGAGATATATAACAAAATGTATTTTCTTTTATTTTGTAGTATAGTTCTAATTATTCTTTATCAGAAGATACTGTAGAACTTTTTTGCCTAAGCCTGTTTGATTTAAACCTTGATGTATAAACAGAAGAGAATTATTAACAATTGTGATATTCTAAAAAAATAAAGAAAATAAATTAGCTTTTTTTTCAATTCTAGTTAAATAGTTTTAATGAAATTATACCTTCAATACTAATAAAGCTTCCACAAATGTGTTAAAATTTCTGCATCAGTTAGCTGTACCAGAATTATAATCGAGCGTAGATGGTAAAGATGCTAAACATCATCCATATCTTTAATAAGAACGCTCAGATGCATCATTTCTCCTGTAAGATAATCTTTAATCTTAGAATTATCAAATAATTAACCAAATATAAAAAGAAAGAAGCATACCTGCCACTTGGATTCTGAGAATCCCAAATTCATCTTTATTAGGTTGTGAATATATGCCATACCATCATTCATTTCTCGCCATAGGCCATAGCTTAATTTTATCATTTTCTTTTTTACTATCAATGCATATCAAGTGTGAAGATTCTGTAAAAATGAGTTCATATAATTTTTTTTTCCACTCTATTATATACATAATATCTGGTCATTTTTCTTGTTTTCCTCTTCTATCCACACTAGCTATACTTTAACACTTGGTCCTAAGTATAAATAAATATTAATTTATAATACCACTTGAACATAGTCTATCAAACTTACGTGCTAATAAAGGCTGATTTTCTAATTGGGATCTTTTTCAGTGCAGAGTGGATAATAGAAATAATTATATCTGTTATGTATGTTTCCTCACTTTGAGATTTAGCATTCTGAGGTTCAAAAGCAGGATTTTTTCAAATGTTACTTCTAAAAGATTTAAAAAAATATTACGGTTAATATGTGGTGATTATAAATTACTAATATAAGAAACACTTACAATGTATCTAGAATTTCCTCTGTAACTTGCAGTAAATCCTTTTCTGTTTTCTTTCAAGTACTGGTATATGATAACTTTTCTGGAAATTCATCAATATTCTCAATTCTGAAATCTTTTACAAAAGTTTTACATTTCTCTTAGATAATTGGTAAAAGTATTGCTTGCATATGTTGGGCCAGTTTTATGAAACTTTGACGTGCTGTTGATGTCAAATCTTGTACTAAATTAGAGTTATCACTTATTACCTAACTGGCAAGCAGTTTCTGCCATATTAAATTATCAATATTTACTTTTTTTAATAATTGATGCATTTCTACAGCAAGCTGGGATGATTTTTCCTATAAAAATGGAATATAAACTTTTTTAAGTTTCCTGCCTAACTCACTAATATCTATTATAATATTACCTTAAGTTTGGATTTCAAGTCATGTATATTTTTTACGATTTTTTCTTTACTAATAGAATTTTCTATTATCTTTAAAATCTCAATATCTTTAAAACTGCGGACACCTTCATAAGTTATGTCAAACTGGCGTGTAAAAAAAAATATTATATTAGTCTTTGATGATGATATGAAATTTTAATACTATAAGCTCACATCATCAGAATAATATAACAAAGTTGCCATCTCTGTGTAGCCTACATATTGTAAGCAACTCCGCTTTTCATATATGGACTTCTGAAACTTGCAAAATTAAAGTCAAAGTACTCCCATACGTCTGTGGAGTTGAATCCAGTACTAGTCAGCTAATGGATACCCAGGGTTTTCCCAAAAATTACAGTTGAATGGATTCCTCATTAACTAAAGCACACAATGTAAAAGTGGGGGTTTAAGGACCGAAGGTCTGGCCCCCACTGAAATATTGTGTGTATGGGTCACAGAACGTTAAAAACAATATTGATTTTTCTTATTATATTAGAAGAGCTTCTAGCAGTTCTAGAATCTTAATTTCGATATTATATTTCTTAATTCTGTGTGGATTCTCCAACTTCAGAAAGCATATTGATTTTTATTATTATATTAGAAAAGCTTCTATCAACTCTAGAATCTTAATTTCTATATTAACTTTTCGTTATATTTATTAAACCATATGAAAAAATAATATATCAGAAAACCGTTCTATGCAAGCTAGCTCATTAAATAACATATTTTTATATTAAGTTATACGAAAAAAAATAAGTCATACAAAAAAAAATAAATCATATGAAATTTCTGTCCCAATTCCCCATAATAAGTTATGCGAAAAAATCAGTCCCAACTTTTCCATAATAAATCATATGAAAAAATATATCAGAAAAGGATTCTATGCAAGCTAGCTCCTTAACTAGCATATATTATTTTAAATCATACGGAAGAAATAAGTCATACGAAAAATTATTCCAACTCTTCCCAGAATAAGTCATACGAAACATGTATATCAGGAACAGTTTCTACGACACCTAGCAAAAATTTTTGTCCCAACTCTTCCAGGTCATCTGATCTTTAGAACACATGATCTGAAGGATCCAAGTTAGCACCATGGTAGCGACCTGGTAGTATCCTAGAGCTGTCATGGAACTGTCATGAAACTGTTATGGAACTGGTAGGGAGTCAGTGAGGTTCTATTAGTTCACCAGTTTCAGGCCAGCTTGAATGCTGAATTATTATGCCCAAACTTCTGGCCAGAATAATGCAGACCGAATTTATACTGCGCCTTCAGTCTCAGAGCACTTCCCCGCTACTATCGAGCAACTATCAAGCAACTATCAAGAGCAATATGCTTTCCCATTGCTTTCGATGATTTGCCCTAGATATGTCTTGAGAAGTCTTTTCGATCATATCCGTCCCATTTGTTTGCCGGAAGTGCACCATGTTGCAACCTGACTATTGTCTATTAGTTGTCGGTATAATTATGTGGTGGATAAATTCATGCGAGCGTAGCGCCTCTCCTTAGGTCAGCAAGCGCTCATGGTCCTGTCAATTCCATGTTCGAGGTTGGAGACTTGGAGGTGCATTTGTTATGGCCAGCCCATTTGATTACCAGAAGTGCGCCATCTTGTAACCCATCTATCTAATGCCTATTTGTTGCCGGTAAAAGTATGGCAATTTGTTGATTTAGACTAGGCCCAAAATTGTATAGCTGGTTTGCGTTAATGAGGGCATCCTATACCTGTGTATATATCTAGAAAGATGAAGGCTTCTGCCAATATTTAATCCATAATTACGGGCCTTCACATTTTGATATATATCCACGTCTAAGGGGGAAATAATTAATTGAATAAAAAATTATATAAGTATGTAATAGCGTGAAAGTAAGAGATAACATCATGATTAGAAAATCTAGAAGTGATAAAAAAGATACAACTTGTAAACGTTGTGGTAAAATGTGTGTAAATCCAAATAAACTTCGTGAACATCTTAGACGAAAAAATCTGTGCAAACCATTATCAGAGATAACTGCTTCTATTCAAGTTCCCATTCAAGTACCCATTCAAGCACCCATCCAAGAGGTTATCCAAAAATCTGCTATTAATGATACTCCCTTCAAAAATCCTAAAATCGAATGGATTTATCAGGATATAAAAAGAAAATTAGGCATTTTTAAAAACTTACAACAGGAAACAAGCTGTAGACCTAAGAACTTTGATAGAAAGCGTTTTTACTTAGAGATGAAAAAAGAGGGTAATAGACCTTATACAGGTATGATTAAATCAAAATGGAGTTCGTTTCTAAATTCAGCATTCGATTATTTATAACGGGATTTTGATAGAAGGAGAGGGGTTATATAGATAAGAAAGGGTTGTAGCCGAAATTTGTAAAGAAATATTTCCAGAAAGGTTGTCAGAGGCAACAGGTGATGATACTAATACCCCTGTTCAAACTCCTGAACCTGAACTACAAATAACCGTTCAAGACTTTGCCCCTAAGCCAGAACTCATTCACGGAAGAAAGTATATTACCAAAGAGGAAGCCAAAGCTTGGGTTAATCCAAATGCACGAAAACCCAGAGAGCGAATTAAGACATGGGGAGCAAAATTGCAAAAACGTTGGAAAGAATTAGATCTAGGTGATGAGCCAATTGAGGTAAATCAGTAAGGTTGCTTGCCAAAACCTCTCCAAAATCCTGCGATAAATTTCGGCAAGATTTTACTATATGTTTACTATAGTTTCGGCAGGGTTTCGGCAGTTTCGGCAAATGGGGGTTTCGGCATTTCGGCAAAGTTTCGGCAGGATTTTTAATATGATTTAATATAGTTTCAGCATTTTCTGTATAGGTTTCGGCAGTTATTAAGAAGGTTTCGGCAAGCAACCTTAGGTAAATGATCTAGATGGTTGTAAAATGCTCTTTCATGATCTTGAGCAGTATGATCCAGAGGCAGTTCGCCTATCTACATTAAAAGAGTTAAAGAAATATGAAAAGATATTAGAGTCTGAAGGCGGTCCTGGACCTAAAACACAATCATTTAGGGAAGGTAATAATTTGATCAATAAAGAATTTGAGCGCTTAGGAGAAATTAAGGGGCCCAAAAGGTCAGAAAAGGATTTAGAATTTAGAGAACAAGAAGAATTGGAAACAGCAGTTAAAAGAAGAGCTATAGCCGTACATCATGTAAAAGTTCCCAAATCCCATCCAGATAATGGAAGTGATATACGAAAAATGTTAGAAAGCCGAAGAAAACAGTTTAGAGAAATACTTGAAAAGGAATTCGATAAACGTGAACAATTTAAGTTCGCTCTATGTTCTCTTACCAAATTTTTTATAGATGATAAACCTGGGAATGAAAAACAGGAAAAAAAGAATTCACGAACTGACTGGCTTAGAAATAAACAAATTATAATTTATAATAGAAATGAAATAGATGATTACTTAAGCAATGCTTTCGAACAAATCCTATACTAAGTGGAGGAAAGAGGAAATAAGACTAATTCTTGAGAATATATTTGGGCAGTAATTAAGGTTGCTTGCTGAAACCTAGGGGTTTAGGCAAGATGGCGTTTCGCTGAAAAGCGAAATTCTGCCGAAACTATATTAAAGTTATATTAAAAAACTGGCGAAACTTTGGAGAAAAGCGAAACTGCTGAAACTTATTATAAATGCCGAAACTGCCGAAACTATAATAAATCTATAATAAAATTTTGACGAAACTAATCGTACGATTTTAAAGAGATTTAGACAAGCAACCTTAGTAGTAATACTGTGTCTGGCGGGACGATTTGCAGTTCTTCTCTTACAAATGAGCATCTAGGACCCTTGTAAAGCTTGTAGAGAATAGGCTGATTTTCTTTTATCAAATAAGAATCAATTGTAAAAACTTCAGGAGACCAATTGCAATCAGTTGCCCTTCTTCTCCCACCTTCTAATTCACTGGGTTCTAATAGATGTCGAACTTCAGTATAGCTAGGTAAAAGTAGTTCATTATAACCAACTGGTCTCCTATGTTTGACAGAAGGTCTAGCTATTATTTTTTTACCTTTTAATGCCTTTTTTACAGCCTCGTTAGGAGACATACATATTAACAGAGTAGGAGTATTATTGAAAATATTATCATTTATACGAAGTCCTTTAAACCATGCCCTGGATTTATCAGTCAAAGGCAAATGAAAATCTTCAGCATCTTGCTGAAAATAAGCATATTTTTCAAATTCTTGATGGTCATGTTCAGCAATAGCTACACCACGTTTAGAGTTAGCATACTGAATTCTAACACCATAGCTAAGCAATAAATCTCTACATTCGCCCATATATTCAGTGCCTCTATCTACAATAAAAGTATTTGGATAGCTAAGAGGGTTATTAGGATCATCATAGATTTTCTGAATCGCTCTAGCCATCTGTGAGGCTGTTTTATCAGTCAATGCAAAACTACAATGATACCTAGTTGCAACATCTTTGATGACGCCCCTATACTTATAAATCTGAATATCTACTTTATCATGAGGCATGGGAGTAGTATCGCTCTGGTGCACTTCATTTAAAAAATATATATTATTAAAGGAGGCATACTGAATAAATTTTGGCCGAGACTTGTGAATCTGATGTAAAGCCTGCTTATTTAGCCAATTTTTTATAACAGCTAAAGTAAACCCATATCTGGCTTTCTTACAAGCCATTTGCATTTTTTCAGCAGACCGATAATATCCCTCAGGTCTGTAATAAAGTTTCTGTAAAGCAAGATCCCGATCTAAGTCTCAAGCTTTTTGAGAAATAATATAAATAACCGGGAAGTCAAAGACTCGAAGCCTTGCTTCCTCTTCCATTCCAATTCTTTATAATTACAAAAAAAAGCTGGCATCTATTAAGTCAGATTCTATTCATTAGCTGAGGCGCTTTTTTCCTTACGCTTTTGTCTAGCTTCTATCTCCTTCTGCAGGTTTAATGGAATATTAAACCACTGGTAAAAAAAATGGTCTATCCTACACATATCCTACACATATCTTACATATATCGGGTACTCAAAATGTAGAAAATCATACACAAATAATACACATATCATACACATATCGGGTACTTATATATATAGTATAGGTACCTGATATATGTATGATATATATATTAGTACCCGATATGTGTATGATATGTATATTATTTGTGTATGATTTTCTACATTTTGAGTACACAATATGTGTAAGATATGTATAGGATAAATCATTTTTTTACCAGTGAACTTTAGGCGGATTGCAAGAGGATCATCTTCCGGCCTAGTGAGATCAAATACAACAAACTCACCTTTTTGAAGGTAGCTATTAATGACCATAGATGCATTTTTTACATCATCAGTATAGCACCTAATGATCTTGGAAATATTTTTATGCGAGCTACCGGAGTTAAAAACTACTAAGTAAGAGGCATTTTCACAAATGAATATAGGGCTTTGTGATATTTTTGCGTTACATATATGCTTGAAATATTCTGATGTCGCCCATTTCCAAAAAATTGGCCAATTTGGTTTTGTATATACTCTGGAGCCAAACATATATCCTCAAAAACAATTACTGTACTTCGTTCTGGCGAAAATGCTCTAACACTAGGGATTTTTTCTGGTGATATATAGCTAAATTGTATATTTTCATAGTAAGGCGCTTTTGGATCTTTTGAAATTATACCATACATACTGTATATCTTACAAATGCCCATATTCGCTCGTCAGGATGATAACCACAAACTATCAAATCATCGCATGCAATATATCTAGACCCTCCTTTTTTATCTTTATATATATATTCAGCTTTATTACCAAGAAAAAGATTTCCCAAAATATTAGTCTTATCTGATCCACTTATCCCAGTGACTAGCATACGAAAAGTCCATGATGGACTTGCAGAATGCGACTGAATTCGGGATGATTCGTGCTTTGTGGCCTCATCCATATCCATAAGGTAAAGTTTCATAAAGGGTAGTCCTGTTTTTTGGTTCTTCTGTGTATCGGATTGGGAATCCATAACTATGATTTCTATAGACTGGATAAAAAGTTTCTTTCTTTTTGGTTGGACGAAAAGTTCATCCGTATATATACCATATAATTAATATCACCACGAAGGCTAATATAATAAACAAGAATATAAGCGGGATTATATACTGATCAGGATTACTACCTCCTAACGCAATAATAGGTACGGCTGAAATACTATTACAATCCTCTTTTCCATTGGGCTCGCGCTCTGAGCAGTGTGAAGAAAAATGAGGTATCTCTAGATCTTCTACTGTTTTACTATGCTTATAATCGCTGGCTGGATGATGGATTTTCTATGGGCAAATTTTTTTCGGAACATAATGTCTCAAAAATTTCAGTCTCATGATCCGCTTCTGCACTACCTATTTTTGAATCATGAGATATCTGATGCAATTGTGAAGCAAACCGATCTAGTTTATCTCTTTCAGTTTTGCGCTCTAGATCACTTACCCTAGACCTGAGGCTAGAGGTGCGCTCCGGATGAATCTGGTCAATCCGTCATCTGGATGATCACGTGACGGATCAATCCGGATTAAAAAAATCGGATCATCAGATTATCCGCGGATTGACCGGATTGATTATAATTCCGGCCGGAATTAAGTAATCGGCATGGAATTATTCTTTTTGGGGTATGAGTAACATTACACATATCCAAAAAAAAGCAATTTTATTTCCCAGCAAAAATGAAATTTTGGGTTTCACAAGAATCCTAAAAAGGAAAATTTTCGATTAGGTATTTAACTGTTGTCACGGCAAAAGTATCATTCTTGATAGACATGAGGTATTATTCTTGATAGACTTTACTGTAAAATATATTATGCATATCAAGATTCTCCTGCATATCTATCAAGAATGATACTTTTGCGTTGTCACGTGATGCACGGGTATGTCGATCATTTCTAATTTTGGCGATACCTATTTCACAAAAAACCAGTTTTTCTAAATTTAGTTTCCAGTCGTGTAACATAAAATTTCCTAAAAAGGAAATTTTTTTGTCGATCCTGTATAGGATTGATCGGATATCCGGTCATCCATCTGGTCTATTTGACGGATTATCTGATCAATCCGAATCCGCCTATTAGACGGATTGATCCTAGGATGACCGGATTGACCAGATTCGGAGCCTACCTCTAACTGAGGCAGAAAATTAATCCATCCTTAAATGATGAATTTTGCGTAACTTTCTCCAGTTCATTTTTCAATTCCTTCACTCTAATCTCAAGAGAGGAATTGTCCTCTTGTTCTATCGAACTGCAGGAAGGATCATAGGTAAAATTTTCACATAATTTTTCTGACTTTGAGCTTGCAAGAAGACGGGCCTCCAGTTCATTTATTCTAACCTCAAAAGAGGTAATTTCAGAATCCTTTAAATTAATCTCAGACTTTAGCGATTCTATTTCTTTTAACTGTTTGGCATTAAGATCAACATGAGACTTTCGTTTACAAGTAATTTGGGAGACAAACTTATTATTCAAACCATTTAGTTGCTTAGATAGGGGGATAAATTGATTCATAGAATCTTGCATACGCTCATTTTCTTCATGTGAGTGATCTAGATCATTTTGCATACACTTATTTTTTTTATCTAAGGCATGATATTTAGCTATAAGCTGTTTGGCAGATCTTATAAACATTTCACGATCTTTTTTTAGCTGTTCTTCAAATTCTAAACGGCTAGGTAGATATCGATTGGATGGAGGGCTTCCAAGTTTACTGCCATCATTATTACCTACATCATTCAAGGTATAGATTCGAGGCATAGTTTTTTATCCCGCAAATATAGACAAAAATAAAAAAAAATATTTTTTCAAAATAATATCATGCTCTTCCTATATTTCCAAAATGATACATTTATCCTAATTATCCCAATAATTCTTTTTGAATTAATGTATTTATCCTATTTATTCTATTAAATTATTTTCGAAATAATACATTTTTTCTAAATATTAAAAAGACTACACTTATCTTATTTATCTCAAAGAATACATTGTTTTTATTCATTATATTTAAATATTTTTTGAAATAATTTATCTGAAAAATACACCATCGAGATTATGGTTAGACAACGTATGAATTGTAATGCTCCTCCATTCTCACCAACCGATTATGATTTTATTATGCAACGTGAAAATGAAAGGCCGAGGAAGAAAGTTTTAGATGAATTGATGGGCAAATATAATACATTAATGAAGCGCATATATCAGATTTGGAGAGGTGAAAAAGCTAATAGAATTGCCTGGAATCAACCAATAGCTGATATTTCTGTTGGATCTGAAAGAGTGTCAGATGGATCTGCTATAATGCCATCTGCCAAAATAGGAGGGGCTCCAGGTATTACTTCCTCTCCACATGACTTACCACTAAAAAAAAATAGCCAAAAAAAGAAGTTAAGTAAAACGAGTGTAGCCTTTACTGAGACGGATGATACTATTAACCATACTCCCTCTAATGATAATATATCTAGGATGGGATCTGAACTTGAAAAAGTATTAAAAGAAATGGATGACATCGGTAATTCCATTCCTTCTTCAAGCTTTGTACAGTTTACGCACTTTTTTTTAAGTCTTCACTAGTCAGGCTAGAGGAATCGGTGGATACTTGGTTCTGATCTTCTTTTGGCGGATCCTTGACTGCCGGAGCCTTGCTAAATGTTGGGATAATATATGCCTTTCCATGTAACTTTATGCAGAACTGGTTTTTATTTGGCTCAGGGATACCTTGAACCTTTCAAATGTTTGACATATCAAAAAATAGCATTGGTTCTGTTTCACCATTATCAATACGAACAAAATTTCCAATGACCGTGATTGTCTTATCTTCTTTATCCTTCAAGGTAACTGGCACGTCTGTATACCATCCTAATGAATCGGTAATATGCTTGGAATTGCCCTTTATGGCAAAATTAGATGGTTTATCAGCCTTCCATCCAAGCGCTTTGATTGCTAGATCATTTATACCACCAAACTCACTGCCGGGATCTAAAAAAGATTCAGAAATAGTTAAGTCATTTATATTAGCATCCAGATATTGTAAAGATGATAACCACTCATCTGATTCTTTCATTTCCTCTTCTTGAGCCTTTCGAAACAAGCACATTTTTTGTATCGGTGGTGAGAGTTTAGACAATAGCTGATCATACATTTCAGGTTGGCTAGATTCTAGAGGTGAGGTTGCATTAGTATCACCGGTCAACTTATGTGAAGCGCCTCTCGGCTCATTTACCTGTTTTTTTTTACCGGTGGGTCATATTCAATCCATCTATTATCATCCTCATCATAACCACCCCCACCATTTTTCTCACCATCTGAATCGGGAGGAACTATAAGTGTAAGAGGCGTAAAATATGACCGAGTGAATTTAGATTGAGCTATTGGTCTTTTTGGACAACTTCCTTTACTATGGCCCGTTTCTCCACAAATTCCACATTTTTGTATAAATGCTTTTTTCTGAAATAGATCAGCTAACTGATTTACATTATTCCGAGTTTCTTCAAGTCCTTCTTCAATCCTATCAAATCTAGCAGAATTATTGTTTCACTGTGAACGAGGTCTTTGAAAAGATTTTACAGGATAATCTGAGTCTAAATCTTCCTTACTTAATAAACCTATTTCTTTTAAGTATTCTGATACATAATAATTCTTGAGACCTTCCTCTGTTTTCAATGAAGATGGTGGACCTCTCGGCTGTCTAATGGGTTCAACAGTTTGTGGAGCAGGTACTTGCGTTTGCTGAGTCATTTGTGATTGTAATTCTGTAATTTTCTTTACTAATGCCTGGTTTTCGGTTTTTTGTTGTGCCAATGCATTTTGAATTGCTTTTTGCATATCTTCTAAAGAAATTCTTTGCTGTTGCGGGGCTGAAACAGGCGAGGGTTCATATATTTCTTGAGATGCTCGATTAGATACTAGAGGGTCAGGTAATCTATCTCTTTTATGTCTAGTTATTCAGCGTAATTCTATCTCATAAAGCTTTTAGCTAATTCATCTAATGGCAAATGTTCACCAATATCTTCAGCTTTTTCAAGCCATAAAAGTGGTAAAGCATCTAAGAACTTTCTACGTAATTCTTTAGGTCTATAGTTGGCTCGTCTACCTATTCGTAATATTTTTCTATATAATTCATCTATAGTCATGTCTCCCTTTCTGATTGTTCCATACATCAAATCCTGAAGTTCCTCTTTTACTGTAGGAAAATGAGTTTTTAGCCACCATACGGCTTGAACAAATCGAATACCAGCTACAACTACTGTATTTCCAGCATTAGCATTTGGTGCATTTACAGGAGCATTAGTAGGACGGCCACCTGCTGTACGCCAGTCTTCATTCCAAGCATCTTCTACAGCTCTTAACTTGATTATTGCATTTCCTAGTTGGCCAACAGCCTCATTTAATGCATTAGCTCCTATCTGTACTGCAGTTCGCCCTTTACTGCAACTAAGTTAGCCTGCCCTGTATTATCGAGTAAGTTAGTTAGCTCCCAATTCTGCTTTGTAGTAATCTCATCATCAAACCATTCTAAAGTCCTTCCTCTCATACAGGCTCTTAAATGTCCTAGTGCATTATCTCTTCCTGTTGGAGGACCTGCTGCATTATCATTTGGATCTATTCCCCGATTCTGCAAGTCTAGTTTAAGTTGCGCAAGAAAGTCTGGGATACTATCATCCCAGTCAAAATATGGATGAGGTATTCCTGCCATGTTTACTTGATTAGGTGGATTATTCTGAAGCGCCAAAATTTGTCCCTGCAAATTTAAATTATTCTGTTGCTCTGCTTGGGTCTTATTTTTCCATTTCTCGTATCGCTTATAGAGCCTGTCACAATTAAATTCTAACAGACCTATATTCCCTCTACTTCGCTGTAAGTGATGGGCATTTCGCTGATACAGCAATTGTAAGGCAAATTTTTCCTGTAGTAATATACCAATACGGGTTCGCTTTCCTGTTATATTGTCTAACATTCTATTTACTTGATTTCGAGCATTGGTCCGCAACTGATAAAGGTCAGCAATAACCATTTGTTCCACTCCTTCAGCATTTTGCCTTCGTATAATTTCATTATCAAGCTCAGCCTCTGCATCATATCGCCTTCGTTGCTCACGAACTAAATACTGATGCAAATTATTCTCTTTTAGGCAAATCTGCCTTGTCGCCATTTTTATTTGATCAGCTAAGATTTCTCTACCTATTGTTGTATTATTCAGATAACCATCTATAGCATTTGCTAGCTCTGTGATGGTAGCCATTTCTAAATTAATATTAGGATTATACAAGTCTGGAGAATTCCCTCGTTCTGGCGAATTTTTTCGTGATGAGATGGTTCTAATCCGACATCGCAATTTCTCTACCTGTTCCTCAGAATCTACTAACTGATTTTCTATACTAGAAATATGTTTTTCATTATTACAAATATCCTTCTTAGCTTGATATAGTTGCTTTTTTAGGCTGGAGATTTCAGATTTTAACTCTACTATCTCTTCTTTCGAAGCATTTTTAAGGCGCTCTATCTCCCTATTGAGATCTTGAATTTCTTGCTCACATCGGGCATAATCCCGTTCCAGTTGATTAATTCGTCTCTCATTCTGGCGATTAATATCAACTTCTATCTGCAATTCACTACGAAGATGATAGTTCTCTTCTTTCAGCTCAGCTTTATGTTCTTCACATGTTTTTCTCTACCTTGGGTGAGATCTGTGAAATAACATTCTCTTTTTTCGTGATTATAAAAGAGAATGGGAGAACCTTTGATTTATATTGATCCTCAGAAAGCGCATAATCTTGACCAGGATCTTACTTTTCAGAAATACAAGGAAAAAAGTATCCCCAACCAAATTCTCACTAATGAATAGAATTCGACTTCATAAATGCCAGCTCCTTTTCTGCCTCCAGCACTTGCATCTTCAGATCTTTGATCTCATAGCACATTTTCTTATTTGCAGTAATCCACTCTCTATATTCTTTTTCTATGTCATGCATAAATTTCTCAAAAGTTCGTTTATTATAATCGATCAGATGCTGGGATAGTACTTTAAGCTCATTCATAACCCGGCGATTATTCTCTTCTTCATAATCATGCTTTAGTGCCTCTGGCCAAGTAGTATCATTAGTTTGGGACCAATTATTTACAACATGTATAGTCGGTAATGCTGGGGATACATTACATTCTGGCCAGCTTCGAGAGCGCAATATTTTTTCCTGAGTCATAGTTTTACGTTTCTTCTTATTTAACGAATTCTCATAAACCTCTAATGTGCGCCTCAAATAAGATTTAATTCGTTCAGACTTCTTGGAAATAGATTCTAATGGAACAGGATCTTTAGAATGGTGCAAGAGTCTCTGGCAAGCTCTCTTGACAAGACTTTCAGGTAGTCTATCAATAATATGTTTATAGTCAGAATGGAACATTTTATTAGATATAGGTTTGCGCAAAAAAAGTTTGCATGCAAAATTCATCTATAGACTATAGTGGTACGCGCCTATATCGCGGGTTGCGTCATATCTGGTAAGGGATTGGTTTAGGCTCAGATCACGTGATCAATGGTCACCAGAAGATCTTAACAGTTTTATATTGTTAGTAATTTTAGGCAACAGGCCGTTTGCCAAGAAAATTTTCTGGGACATAATGTCTCGGAAAATGCCAAGAATTTTTTTATTATCTAATACACTGCTTTATTAATAATATAACTTAATAAAAATTACATGTATGAAATCTCTATTCTATGAATTTTTGGGGGTCGTAACCGTTACTACCATTTCACTAGAACTATGCTCACTATCCCCAGAGTCAGAACTATATAATATTTTGTGAATCGTACATGCGACGGCCGTTCTCAGAGTCATCAATGCATGTATAAGCGAGTATACGGCACTTGGGGAAGTCATATGCAACGGAATTGTTGCCTCCTCTATTAAACAGTACTTGTAAATTCCTGATTCTTTTCGCATAGCATAAAGTTCTATAACATCGCCTAGAAATGGATCGAGCGGAATATAAATGATTTATGAATATATAAAAAAATAAAAGTAAATTATTCGTACCTGCGATGTTAATAGTGAATATGGTCAGATTCTGCCTCCTCGATGGTTGGTTAAATATCTTTTTAAGGTTTTTTATGTTCCTAGTGGTGTCGATAGAATCATTGGAAAAAAGTATTAATTTTTTGTGATCACGATCCCGCTTATCTTGACTGGAATTAGGTCTACCGGTCTCAAGATAAACAATTTCAAGTTCAGCATTTTTTCTGAACTGGGCTACCATCATATAATCGGCTCTTCGGGCAATTTTACGAGAACCTTTTAGTATGGCACTAGCTGAACTCCCTTCTTCACCCCTTAATTTAGAAAACATTAATTATAGCAGATATGATAGTGGAGTAATGAAACTTTTTGAGCTAAGCCTACCATATATCCCATGCTATCGGGTTTCCTGGTAAATCGCTCATCACTATATTTAATAATGGCGCAAGCACCTCACAAACATATGATCCTTCATTTATAGATTTCCCCTTCTTTATATATGCATCATATTTTGGCGATTTCCAAACCTTGAGCCTATAATTATTTATTGGTTAATGAGCAAAGTAAAAAATCATATAAACAGATTTTGGCAAGAATTGCTCGCCAGTGACTTACATAGATTCTAACATCCGTTTTGTTAGATCTTGTAATTCTTCGGGCTTATCCAACCATTCTCAATAATTAATATTACCCAAAACCTCGTCTATGTTAATTTTCGATTCTTCGTTTTGGATAAATTCTTTACAAGCTTCCATTATATCATGATTCTGTTCTAACTTATATTTTCGAAATGGTTCCTTAAAAATATCAGAAACTGACCCAGGCATATTTGTGAAGGGTTCTGACTTGATATCTAGAACACCTGAACAAATCGGATGATCAAATCCAAGATTCTTCACATTTATTTCCTCAAGTTCTGTTTCTATTCTCTCCCACATGGTTTTCTCATAACTAGCGCTTTCAGTCATGCATCGTCTAACATCACGCTTCAAAGATCGTAAATTTGTATTTGCATCTTCATACCAGGCTTCTGTATCGATTACTAACGCTTCCATTTCTGAGAGTGAACATAGATCTTTGAATGCAGTTGTGACCTAAAATATATTTAAAATTAGTTTCCAAGACTCGTTTGACAAAATAATTTCATTTTACATCGCGGAATCAGATTAGGTTTCCATTTTCATAAAGTCTCAAGTGCCGGCAAAATATTTGATATGTAGATATAGTATAAAACTAGTTACTACTGAGTGGGAAGTAATAATATTACAACGGACATCAGTCTCTTCGCTAGTGATTATACTATACTAGAAAACCTAAAAAAGTATGTCATTATATCCATATATTCATCATGAAAATAGTTTATCGCCTTACCCGTTTAGCTAATTTTTTCCCGGTACTAAAATTTTGAAGCTTTTTTTTCGTTCAACATCCTCTGAGGGGACTCGTTCTAAAACTTTTTGCAAAATATTTTCAAAGTTCTCCACCTCCTTTTCGAGATTGCCTGTCCATTCATCTTCCTCTACTCGTACAAATAATGCCGTAGAAATTCTGACGATATCAAGGGGTTCTCTGGTTAAAAGGAACTCTTCCATATTTAGATAAAATAAGAAGATAATTGTTAGTGAAAAGCTTGCTAGTCAAAGTAAAAAAAAATAATGTATGGTAAATTCCAATACCTTTTTGCCATACCCTTTTAAATGTCTTGCATTTCCCATTCACGTTCTTTCTAATTCACATTCATGTTGGGGGAGAGATAGGAGATATGCAAGGTACTTTACGCTAAAATTTTATGTTTAAGAGTAAGACATGTGGAATGTGCATTGTAGATCTTAACATTGCAAAGACGTTGGGGAATATGCATATACGAACTTTTTTTTTCACCTGACCGCTTAATACTAAGACCTGGCAGCGTTATATAATGTATTTCTGTCGAAATTAGTGAACACCATATAGTAGAAATAGCCTGTAGCTCTGGAGAAATAAACTCACAAATTCCACTAAACGTTGCTAGGGAAAAAATTCAAAATATTTTTGGGTGTGTGAAATTATTTCATCGCACAAGCATAGAGTATCACTTATTACATCATATCCACTCAACGGGATCAGAAACACGTTTATTTTCTGTCGCACAGCCCACATGTATTGTCCGTAAGGTACTTGCATGGCTGGTCTAACCCAGATTAGGCGGATCACAATTTTTATTTCACATAAATTATGCAGGTGATACATTTCACTAGGCGATCACCCATACATTGTAGTGGAGTAAGCGAATGAAAGTAAAAAAAATAATTTATTGTATTATTAAGTAAAGCGTCTTTGGCTAATAATTATACATAAATATAATACTATATTATTTTGATAAAGAATCTATGGCCCGAAAAACTCAGCACACATATTCACAATTATTATTTGAATCTGAGAAATCTATAATGTTAAACTTTCCTTCGATAGTAAAACCATATTCAGATTTAAAATAGTCAATTTTTAGCGAATCACATGGATATGGTTTGCCTATTATTTTACATCTATAACGCGCATATTCTGAACTTTTAACAAAGTTTACATTGCCATTGTTATAATATTCATTAATACGGTAAGCTTCAGAATTCGATAGCCACTTTAACATATAAGACCAATCACCATATGTAACGATTCTATAGCCTTGCTGATGTAATACTATAAAAGCAACTATATATGCTATATTACCTAATCGATTATGTAACTGATCACTCTTCTTTTCTGCCCACTCGCGTGGAATATGACCATCATATAGATTATTCAGAAAAGATTCAGGTAAATCTTTAGCTAGAATTTTTTGATCAATATACCATACATATAGATCATAAATATCTCTTTTACCACGAGGAGATAGAAACTTCTTCTCATCAGGAGTACCATCATTCCTCACCATATTCCAAACTCGTTTTAGGTCTCAACTTGAAAGTTCTCTAAGCCCGTTGGATAATTTTTGCATTATTAAATATATGATATGCAGTCTTTTTCCACAATTCATAGTCTGCATCACATCTAATTCTAAAACCCTGACTAGGAAAATCAGTAAATTTACCACAAATCTCATAAATTTCATCTTTACTTAATTCTAATGCTATTCTTCCTCCTTTTTTCTGAATAGGATTAGAATATGCAAGATGCTTTTTAGTGGATTTAGTAATGCATTTATTCAGATGATTATTCGCATATTCAATTGTATTTTCACGAATAGTTACTAAGGAGTCGCATACAGTGCAATAAATATAAACTGAGCGCTCTCCGACTCTAAATCTCCCATCCTTATATGATCTTTCAGTCATTTGGATAAAAGCATTCTTGGAGAAGTATTTTGGGTTATTCTCGAGAAGTTTCTTAAATGGATAAGAAATTCGAGAACATTACAACAGGATTTAAACTGGAATAGTTAGTTTTAACCATTTTTATAGTTTATAACCGATCTTAATGATTTACTGTATAGCGTTTTAGCGAATTATAGCAATTTTAGCAAATTCTAGCAATGATTTAGCAACTTATACTAGATAATATCATCATTCAAATTTATACAGATTTACTGATTAGCGATTAGATGATTTGTAGCCGATTTGCGAGACTACATGTTAGTAAATCCAAAATTCATTTTTATTTGATTACAAACATTTCGGAATTTATATGCTAATTTTATATTTACATGCAGTTTGTGGATCTCTCGTGATTAACAGGGATTAGCCAAAGACGCTTTGCATGATTTATAACATAAAAATTTGTATCACCTTAGCTCCCAGACAGTTTCCGGCACTTCTTCACAACCTTCTCGCAACTCAAATCACGGGATGGGTTACAGATCAGCCAATAAGATTTTGCGCAGTAGCTAAGCCACCATTATTATTCGATTAATCATTATATCGATCATTTTTTAGCCTTAATACAATTACGACGCTCATTTATTCACAGCTCAGTCGAACCATGGCACTTAAAGGCAAGGCTTTTTTTGCTTGCTCTGTTACCCCACTTTTCTTAAAACCGTAAAAATGTCTCTCGAGTGGAATGAAGAGCAGACCCGTTTCCTTATTGACGAACGTAAAACTGGTAATGAAGTCTACCATAAAACCCCTAAACGTAGCAAGACAGACTTCTGGAAGGAGATATCAAACAAGCTTAACGAAAATAATAACACGAATTATTTTACTGGAGAAACCTGTAATAAGAAATTCCTTTCCCTAACTCGAGCTTATTATGTGAGTAAATGATAATTGTTGGCAGACTAGATTTTGCCTGGCCTGTAAGTGGACAATGTCCGGCCAATTTTTTTTCAACGCTATATACTTGTATTAATCATCGCAAGTGTGATATATTTGGTATATCATCAGGAAATTTTATAGCGCGAAAAATTGCGTAAGTTTACGATTTTGTAAGTTTATGAAAGTTTATGGCATAATATTTCAAAAAATTTCAAAATATTACGTAAGTTTACAATTTCGTAAGATTTATGTGATATTACGGTTAAAATATTACGTAAGTTTACAATATCGTAAGATTTACGCAATATTACGGTCAAAATATTCTGCAAATTTACGAAACTGTAAACCTGCGTAATATTACGGTTGAAATATTTCGAAAATTTACGAGACTGTAAACCTGCGTAATATTCCGTTTCGAAAATTTACGAGATTGTAAACTGCGTATGCAGTAGAACGTATACAAGGGGCATGTGATACTATTGAATAATCAAAAATAATATAAACACCTTTTCTTTTATATAAACACCTTTTTTTTTAAGTTTGGGAAAGCAAATTTATTTTTATTTACGAATTTTTTATTATTTACAATTTTTATGTTAAAAATTAAAGTAAATTCTAATTTTTATTATAACTTAATAAAAAAATACACATTTGATACTTGTTCGCTACTATTTTATAAAATAGTACCCAGGCTGTACGGCGTGGACGTCAGTATCAGTCACAGCCCAAAAAAAACGTGAGTCTCCAGCCGATATTTGGTACGGACTGGGCCTAGCTACTCACTTAATAAATAAAAAAATAAAAATAATTATCTTCTACGATACGTAGGTAAGTTTCTCCTTCTCCTACGATCGTCACGCGTATCTAAAATTGATCAAATTTATCAAATTTAAAATGTGAACGTAAAATAGAATGTAATATTAATTATAAAATTTTATTATAGTATAATTACCCGGCCTCTCCCAAAATCTCGTTCTAAATTCGCGATAATATCTTTGGCCGGTACGCGTCCACAGCCGCCGCCCAGGCCGATCAGGGGTGCCATTACGATAAAGGACATAGTTCTAAATATCAAAATCAGTTTGAATATTCGGTAAATACATTTAATTTAAATGAATGTAATTTTATTTATTTACTTACATGGTAATCCCTGACGAGGTTCCTCCACTTTTGGCTGCACTGTTGCCCGGAAACCCTCGTTCGAAATATTCTATTTATTCTGATTCAATTAAATGGATTGGTTAATTTGAATTTAAATTCTTTCTTAAAGAAAATTATAGATATTAGTCATATGAACCTATTGGCAACAGAGTCCCAAAAATCATGGCGGCTTCTACCATTAATATTATGGTAGGCGCGGTTTCTGTCGCGGCGTATGTCGACAAGTTCGTCCATCATAGCCCAGTTCCAATGGACGTTATAGGAACGACGACGTGTTTGGCGAGGCATTATTAGATTTGATTTGATTTTTATAATTTGATTTTGGGATGAGTAAAAATTTGAAAGAAAGTCGTAAAATGTCACTTTAAATAAAATTTGAACAATACCTCTTTGGTTTGATTTTATTTCTCGTTTCAATTAAAATTTAATTTATTAGACTTTTCATCATTAAACATATTAATTAAATCTCATGCAGATATGGATTATCTAAATATAAATATCATGATTCTAAATATAAATATAAATCACTTAATTTATTTTAATTTTTTTTCCAAAAAAAAAAATCTTAGTTTGATTTCAATTAAAAATAATTAAAAATCATGTACATGATTTCAATTAAAAATAATTAAAAATCATGTACATGTTTTGGTTATTTAAATATAAATATCAATATATTATATTTAAAAATAAAATAATTTATTATTAGCACATTCTATTGAATTTTAAAAAAAAAATCATCAATATATCATATTTAAAATAAAACAATTATATTTTAATTAAATATTTTGCGTACATTTCTTAAAAAAATCATAAAAAAAAATCTTGTATGTCGTACATACAATTACTAAATATCATCCCCTTGTGATAAATAAAAAATTACGCAACACAAATTTAACACAAACTCAATACAAATTTAACAAATTTAACGAAATTTGGCCAAAATTAATAATTTTTTACCAGAATTATTAACACAAATTGAACACAAATTGAATACAAATTTCAGTCACGATTTATTTATGTCATACCCGCTATACGATGTACATGATTTCTGGCCAATCAAAATTAGGCTGATCCTTGCATGTGATTTAATCATTTAATTATGCACGCGTTTTTTGTCTTATTTATTTTTGTCTCTTATTTCTTTATTCTCTTGTTCAATATTTTTAATTTTTTTGTCTCTTCTTTCTATTATTTCTTTAATTATATACAAACAATATATTTATATATATTTCATAATTTATTGCTTTGCAGGTATAGAAATATTTGTTTATTAATACTAATTATTTTCATTTTTTTTTACCTCTTTGTTATTTTGTATCGTAATACTAACAATAATATCCATGTTTCCTTTATTCCTTTTTACTTGTACTTTAATACTAACGATAATATCCATGTTTCTTTTACTCCTTTTACTGTTTCTTTAACTCTTTTTACCTTAATACTAACAATAATAACAATATTTCTTTTATCTTTATATCTAATACTAACGTTACTATAGCTGTTTCTCTTCTTTTTACGTCTAATAATATTGTTACTCTACTCTTTCTCTTTTTTACTTTTATGTATTCTGTATATATTAATAAATACTTGTAATTTTTTATGATTATATCTAATAAAACATACATTATATAAACTTATAGTACAGAAAATGAAGTATTATTTATCGAAATATTTTGAAATATTACGAAATATTAAGTTGTGTAAAATCACAGAATATTACGAATCGTCAAATTATGGAACATTACGCATCATAGAATTTCGAAATATTTTAAAAAGTTGCGAAGTATTACGCAGTAAAATTACGGAATATTACGAATCGTAAAATTACGAAGCCTTGCATACAGTAATATTTCGAAATATTTTAAAAAGTTACAAAATATTACGCTTACGCAAACTTGCGGCGGGTCTGGAAGCTTACGAAATATTATGATGTGTAAACTTGCGCAACTTTTCGCACTATATAATTTCCTGATGATGTAGACGACTAAGGCTTATAAAGAAGGATCCAAAAAAAAAGGAGCCTTATCGGTGAACAATATTATGCCGAATTTTCAACCAAATTTTGGAAGGATCCTGGTATTTACACTGTGCCTTTATTGCGATATTTTTTTACGAAAGATACACTAAAAAATGTTTATTATTTATTTCTAGGAGCACAACAGCATCCCAATACAGTAATGCCATCATCATCACCTAACACGCCGAGTAGAAGACAACCATCAAGAATTCCTCGATCTCCTAATAGATCGCGTATAACAACACCCTCTATATCAAGACCACTTTCTTCTGGTTCCAGACCCGTGACGCCCTCATTTTTTCAGAGCGCTGAAACGATTAATATTTATATTAATTATAATGAGCCGGATCGAGAGTGATTTTATAGTTTGCTATTCTGTATTAAAGCGGGATTTTTTTATATCTGTAAATTGTTATATTAGTTTAGTAAATTTTGTATTTTTTCATGACTGTAAGTGCGATGCAGTAGAATACGAAAGCAAATGTAATTAATAAAAAAAATAAATATCAATATCACTTGACCGAAGGCGCTAAAGCATAAAACATGAAACATATTTAAAAAACTCAAAGTACAATCTTTATTATATTTTTGTAAAGTAATATGTGAGAAAGAGCCAGCCGGCTAAGTAAAAATGAAAGTAAAAATAATAGAGTAGCAGGTTGTTTCAAGGGAGGAATAAAGCATAAATGCCTGCCGAGCCCCAACCCATATAATGGCAGTTCCTTCCCCGCTACTCTGCATTATTATTAAAACTAGCTACCCATGCGTTTATCTGATTAACAGTACTAACTGTACTGCGACCAACACCACTATAAAAATTTTTCACTGTTGAGATTTTAATACTCCCTCCAAGACTACGAATATCTACCGCTACCGAGTAATACATCTCATCAAAAGTATAATTCCTCGCCTTCATAAGTCGATCAAAGTGTTGTTTAAAGCGAATTTTAATGTCTCCAGTAATATCAAAAATTCCAGATAAATTGGAACTTCCAGAAGAAGAGCTTGGAGACGAATTAGTTGAAGAGTCTCACGAATTAGTTTCAGATTCATTGGTCGAATTAGCTTCAGATTCATTGGACACACTTTGTTGGTCAAAATCGGATCTTTAAACTACTGCGTAATGTTGATTTGTTTCATTTTGGAGATTTTCGATAACAACATTAATTCTGCTAAATTCATTACGGCAGGCTTTTTCGATATTATTAACTTTCGTAGTTATGTTATTGACCATTGAAAAAATTTTCTGTGCCTCCCTAGTAAAGTTGCCTTGATCTTTTCAACTTCTGCAGTAAGTTTACCATCGATTTCAGCATAAATTTTACTGATTTCCGCAATGAATATGGATTTAAAATTGGAAATACTTATGTCAACTTTTGCGGTGAGCTTATCGTCAAATTCAGTAAAGGTCTTTTCTATTTCCGGTGTATCAAGATAATTGACAATTTCGATGGCACGTGCATAGAGTTCATCAGAGACTTTCTGTTTGATATTTGACCATATGGTGGTGATCTCCATGAATAACACTGACAAACTGGACATGATTAGGCGTAGTAATTTTATTGAGATTTTATTGGTGGATCAAGTTTTTTAGATAATATCGTTTGCTTTTTTTAATAGCAATAGTTATCTTGCGTAAATGCACTGGGAGAAAGGTTTATTTTATACTGTATGCTTACTACGCGTGAAAAGAGAATTTAACCTGATTTAATAAAAATTATGTTGCTTTATTAATTATTATGTGTATTTGTCATAACTACATTTTTCATAATTACGTCGCTCGTAGATACCTGATTGTTGAAATAACAATGCATGACACGTTAACAGTGTGAAATCGGCATTATGAATACTAATAAAGTACCAAGGAATTTTCTGTTTATTGCTTTCGATTTGCGGGTGGGCTTACCCCGCTAGTATTTCTTTTTTCGAATTAATGAGAAAAAAAAAGGTGGCCCCTATTCGTGCTCCATACAAATCTACTAATGACCGTAAATGGAAATTTGTTTTATTATATAGAATGTGGCCAGAGGCATCCCCCTTACATTTTATAGGATCTAGATCTGTAAATCGGTAGATTAAAAGGTGCAATTTCCATTCTTGTCCCATTCTAACAACAGGGACACCAATTCAAAGATTCGTAATATATGTATCATACCAGAACTTTCCAGAAATAAGTTGACGGATTAATTATTCATTGATCTAACCCACAGGAAGTGACGTACTTACTGTGCATTTTGCAGATAACCAAAATCAAATCTTAGAAATAAACGGTAAATTCTTGCCAAATTAATAAGATCTTCTGCAACACGTGGGTTGAGTTCACAGCCCGCCCCTATTTCAATTGTAATCACAAAAAAAGAATATCATGGATCGAGATCTGTAGATGACGAATCGCACATGTTGGAATACGTACCACTAATTCCTATTCAAAAACGGATTAATATGCTATTAGCCTATACACGTAATTTGAATGCGCTAATGTTAAGTAATGCTAGTAAGGTAATAAAAATCTACCATTTATCAGCGGAGATCATGCCGATTTCCATATTCAATTCGTTCTATAATCATGATTTGCGAAACACAAGTTAAACGACGCCCTGTCTTACGATCAGCATGTAAATCAGGATGTGTTATTTTTTATTAGTAATTCAGAACTGCGTAATGAGTGAGATAGAACATACCAGAACTTCTTTCGGCTTGGCGCTGGGGAAAGTTCATCACTATAGCAACACAAAAATATTGGGTTTATTAATAAGATCCTCTAAAAATAACGACTGCAGTTGCTGGTGACGTACTACTGCGCATAGAATATTCTGCGGTTGTGAACCAGTGACGTATTACTGCGGAGAAGAATAAATGACGTTTTACTGTGCACGAAATCTAAGCCACCCACGTGATTCGAAAAAAGAAATATACGAATTCGCATAATTCAGTCAGTGCAAGTAATTGATTCGCCCAATTAATTCACCTGCTTTTAGCGCTTTCAGCAGGCGGTTACCGGAGAGATAATAGGACTCATCATTGGGGAAGTTTTTCTTTCGCATCTTCCATCGCGATAATAATAACCTCTATCATGTTCACCATATTCATTATATCCATCGTAACCATTATATCCGTCATCATTATACAAGTCCGATTCATCTGACATCTCTTCTTCAGAATAATTGTCGTGACTACAGCCACTATCATCATCTACCTTATCTGATTGCGAAGCAACCTCTTCATTCAGTTCTTTCACTGACTGAGATGTGGAATCATAATCAAATTCACAAAATACACATCTTCGTAATCCCCAGCTGAAATTAAGGCCGAAAAAAAACCTTGCCCATGTTTCGAACTGCAAAACGCCTTCCGGCTAACTTTATCTAGTATTCTTAACTTGAGATGTAACATATTTGATATCATCATCTCTTAAATTTGAAATAGATGTCGCTGAAAATGTTTTTATGCGTTGGATGAATGGATAAATACTAATCGTTAAGTCTTATCCTCGCTAATACGAAAAGGTTGTATAAAACACTTTCGATCAAAAATGTGTAAACGTTATTATGCACACGAAACCGGCATTTATATTTTTTCAATGCACACCTACACGCACAATAAAAAACCATTCTATGCCGAATTTTCATTGATACTGCAAATAAAATACATGACCTAACTCACTTCAAGTTTATTAATATTAAAAGAACCTTGATCATATGTGGGTATTGATATTTCGTGCAAAATAATAAAATAATGAAGCAGTTTATTTCAATGCTAAAAATATGTTGTGATATAATTTTTCCTATTCCATTACAAGTAAAAAAAATGACTCGATCTTATTAATAATAAAATGTTTCGAACTAAAAGTAAACTATTTGGCATCAATGTAATAATTAGTTATTGGGTGAATTTAGCATTAGCAGATTCATCGTTTCGAAAGGCTGTTTAGCGTTCACATCCTGAAAAGTGAAGTTATAAAAATGGTTAGAAATGCTAACATAAATCAGCAAAAAGGTTTGCAGGTACAGTAGTATACAAAATAAGTAGCTTCGTTTATCCTCAGTTAAGCCAACGAGTCCAACAGAAACTGAGAAACCACAATATAATCTCTCAGTCAATGTCGATTTAAACCTACCCGTTGAGCAAACTGAATTGCTCACCGAATAAGTTGCGCCCCCACGCCGACTTTGGACGTGACTACGCGAGAACTTATTCCACATACCACATTCCCATTTATATAAATATACCTGAGTTTTTGATTTCAAGTTCTGTAGATAAAACAGTTAGCTTAGTTAGCTTACAATATGAATTTATTATACAAGAAAAATTATCAAATACTTACGACGTCAAACATCAAATTCGCAGATTGGATAAATTTACAAATTTGTACTTGTTTTTCTTCTGTTCTGATTGCTCTCCAGAGCTTTATTAGATATTTGTCTTCATTCAATGCCAATCTTAGAATCTTCCGCTTATCCCCCTTCTCTATCTCCTCAGTTTCCTCGAGAATATAAAGAACGAATTCTGTAATCTTTCCCAAATTTGTATCGTCAAGTTTCCTTTTTTGTGGTGGGTGAGAGTGTTCTTTATCGGCTTTATTGATCCATCGTTGCACTACTTCGTTATCAATATTTTCTTTGTTGGACGATACTTCTTTGTAGTCTCCACCTAACGTCAAATATAAAAAGCTCAGTTTATGTTTTTAGATGAAGTCAAGTTATTCTCAAGAAAAACTTACCAAGACAAATTACAACCTCACAAGCTAGAACAGAGACGTGCTGAAGTTCGTGATCGCTCCATCGACCTTTTTCGTCAACGACAATTCCGTGCGCCATTTTGTTACGCACATTTTTCTTAAAATTGCTCAATAACTCAGTGGGATTTGCTTTATATCGACCATGAAATAACGGCTTTTTTGGTTTCAAAAAAAGCTTTATATTCTCTATAATAAAATTTATCATACATAGCAAATCGGCGTTCCCAAAGTCAGTACTAATAGGAGGGTGTTGTTTGGCACAGAAGGATTTCACCACATCGAGAGGAATAAAACCTTCACTTTCAACAAGAAATTTATAAATCGCTTTCTCAACTAAATTAAGAAGCGGTTCAACTATCGCTCCTTGCTCGCTAGCAGTAAAAGAGAATGCTTGCTTTACTGGCGGAGAGACATCACGAGTACGTTTGTTACCATTATTGTTGTAATTGTTGATAATCGCACTACTTGAATCTTGTTGCCCAACAACAGACGAATATAGCTGACCTAGCCTTTTGAGAGGATGCCTCAAACCAATTAAATATTTTTGTATGAGCTGGATTTTGACGGAAGGCTTCATCATGGTACAAATTATCATGTAATGAGTCACGTAACGAAGATCGAGAAATCTTTAACGGGCAGATGCTATGTAGCTTGTCTAGGGTTGACTTTAAAGTATCTTTAGTGTTTTGTTCAATAACGCCGGAGCGTAACCAAGTAGAAAGTCGTTTGTTTTTTTTAGCCATAAAGGAAGATTAAGCATCAATAAGTAAATTGACCTTTAAACGCGACGCGTGAAGATATCAGATATATAAAAGAACTGATGTTACACATGATTGTCTGATTACCGGCTTAGTCACGTGGAGAATTAGGTCCTAAAATGGCAAATACAGTATATGAATCTTTGCCAAACCGTTGAATCATATGAACCAGAATACGAAATAATCTATCCCAGCTATATGTCTGTCCGCTCATTTCTTTCGGATAATATAGATAATATAGTCTTACCAATATACTGTAAATTTTAGATTACAAAATCTCCGTTCCAAAATGGAACGCACACATGATTTGATTTTTCACCGGTTTCGAACATATATGTAAGAAGTGGGTCGGAATTTTTGTCTATCTATATCACTCCCACACGGACCACATAAAGGATTAAGTTCTGCAAGCCGAAATATACACAGTTTAAGAGCAAATATTAGTATATTAAATAATGGTATATTTAGATTGCTTTGATTAGTTTCGATCAATTTTTATTTTACTTGCGCAAGGTGAATAAAAAGGTTTACTAAGGCCTCACCTTTTTATATAATTTGCAATGTGCCTAAGGATTGATTTAATATGACCACATCACAAGAATCAAATCAATTCGCCTCCTTAAATTCATAATAGATGCTACCTATTAACAAGGGGACACCAGTTTAATCATTAACAGTTAACATTAATCCATATATTAGGTATATACTGGAAACCTGGACAAGGGCACAGTCAAAATTGGCATAACAGTCCCAAGAAAACTTTTAAAGGTTTGAGATCATAAACTGGTGGTTAGCAGTCTCTGACATTACTACTTATTTAAATCAGGTGAAAAGTGTAAAGAAAGTATTTTATTAATACATGCGAGCAATAAAAAAATAAATACATGTTACTAACTGGTTGTAAATGATGATGTTTCTATGCTACAATTGCGAATTTGAATTTATTGCTTGAAGTGAAGCAAGTAAGACAATATTCTGTTCCATTTTTATACCATTCGCCATGTAATCCATAATTTCCATGTTTTCCATCGCAAATAGGACATGGTGAGCTCCACGGCTGAGGTGATGCAAAATTATAATTATCAATCCCTCTAAAACTATTTCGGAATTTCAAGTATGGGAAGTGCTCTAAGACGGATTTGATAATTAATTCTGGATCGGGTCTGACTTCAAAAGTTATAGGCCCTTTTTCTGGCTTCGAATTTATAACTTCACTCTGTTTTGATTCATGTACTTCTGTTAGTTGCCATGGCTCATTTCCAGTTTGTTTTTTATATCTTTTGTATAATTTGGAACGAATCTTATCTGTCAAAACGCTTGGTAATCCACTTAATTTGGCATGCCAGTCTAGATATTCGGGGTTAGTATTTTATTAACTCAGTCATTTTCCTTTTTATATGACTGCAAACAATTTAAATCCCTTTTCTCATATAGACCTATTCATTCGAAAAAAAAAGATTAAAATTCCCAGACGATCCCAGAGGGATCAGACTATGCAACTATCTCAATTTCACGCTGTTCACATTTAATAAAGTAAGATCCGGTATTATACGTACCTTCTATTTCTTCATCATCATGACCTAATTTGCATAATGGGCAGATGTAGTCCCCGCATGTTGTCTCATCAGTAATCCCATAATAGTCTAAATTTTCAATACTACATTCTCTATATAGATTAGGATATTGATCCAATATCTTGTTGCGAAAATAGGAATGATCGGGCTTAGATTGGGATGCAGATGATACACTTGCC